TAATGAAAATACTCAAAAACGTCAAAAAGCCATTTTGAGATATATGTTTTAATTTTTGGAAAATAAAAACTGAAAATGACCTCAAAACGACAAACCAAACTCACTTTATTGTAATCTCCCTAACTTTTATGGTTTGTGTATGGAAAAATAAGAACACCAATGTATCTTCTCTCCATTGCACTCCATCTTCTTACAATTGAATGGACTTTATTTTCTTTTTCTTTTTTTTTCCCCTCCAAAAATCGAAGTAATCGCATTAATGTAATTGACAAGTCATATATAAATTATGTCACAATCAAAATTAATACTAAATCACAACCACAACGTTACAATCATTTATTGAAACATAGCGCAATCACATAATTTATTGATTTTGAAATTGTATTTTAAAAACTATTGTAGTAATAAAATTTCCTCGTAATTTTTGTGAGTTTAAATTATTTTCCAATTGGCAGCCCCATCATTTAGCCCTCGTTTGTCTCTCGTTTATTAAAATTAATTTTTAATTATACATTTTATGATATTCACATTATCAAATTTTCGATTCTTCCATTAATTTTTATTGAAATCAATTTTAGTTAAATAGAAAAAGGGGCAAGATTTTTATCGAAACAAGTGGTAGAGAATGCTGGACGTCCTTTACGTCCAGTCGATGGGTACCACCAACTTCACACAAAATGTGATGGCAAGATTTGTCACTGCACTCTTGTTACGCCTCTTTGTTCACATTGTACATTGCATGCAACCGACAGATTTTTATTTTTATTTTTACTAGTATTTAATTATTTTAATACCTTATCACCGGACTTAAAAAAAAAGGGGGGGTATTGGGGTTTTCCTTTTTGTTTTACGTTTAGAACTTGTTTGGTACAAATTAAAATCAGATTTTAATTTAAGTTAAAGTTAAACAATCAATATTAATCACATCTTTCATGAGTCACATATCTTTTCAACCACGTATTTCAAAAATTTCTATCAAAATCTACTAAAAATCTAATTTTAATCCCCACCAAACACCCCCTTAATGTTTTTTTTCCCTCTAATCACGCGAGCCAAACGTGATGGAGCTTTTTGGATTGTCGTTAGTGCATTGTTAGATTGTTGATAATATTGAGCCCAATTTTTGTGAAAAATGAGTTTTATAATAGTAATTTTTTAAGAATTTGTAATTAAAAAGTAGGAAGATTTTGAATTTATATGCAAAATAATTTTATTAGGAGAATGTGGTTGAAAATGAATTTGAGAAAAAAAATTAAGTTTTTAGAGAATGAAACTCAAATACGAGTTGAAGAGGAGATTCAAAATTACCATGGTAAAGTTTTGCGTAAATTTCATTAGTGTTAATTATACTTTATTATGGTGTCAATCAAGTAATTATATTTCAATTTTATTCTATCTAGAGACTATATTTTAAAATGATTGTAATCGGATAACTGTATTTCAATCAGATAATTACATTTTAATTTAATTTCAATTAATGTAACTCTGTTAAATTTTACTATCTGAAACGTGGTCACACAAGGAATAAGTACAATTTCATTGAATTAAATCACATCTTAATTTATTGATAATCGCTCTTCGATTTTCACGAGTTTAAGTGACGACATTAGTCGAAGTTACCCAATTGAAATCAAATTATAATTATTGATAGAATAATTGAAGTACAATCACTTGATGACAATAGACTCGACGACGCTAGAGTAAAGAATAGTTATTGCGAATGAAATTTACCCACCAAATTTTATTACATTGTCTATACAACTGTGTAAAAATTTAGAGAAAACAAACGCATCTCAACTCCTTTCTCAATAGCTACATCCTTCCTTCAGGAAAAGCTAGATAACATCTTTTCAATAGCCGTGATATTTCACAGCTGAGCCATAACTTTCAAGCTGGTTTTTTTTTTTTTTAAATATACATAAATAATATTTATATTGGAAGAAAAAAATAAAATAAAAAAATTACTTTTTAAATTTTTTGAAAATGTTGCAAGTTGGTTGTCGATCTCCGTCCCAATCTCTCATTTAATCCATGTGTAATTTTTGAATGGTATTTTGATCCAATTTTAACTATACATTCTTTAATAAAATAATATTACATACAAATTCAAAAAAATTCTTTATTTTTTAACAACACATTTTCCATCAATACACGATTCAAAAATACATTTTTTTTGACAAAAATAGGGCTCAAACAAGCCATTAACTAACATTTGACGAATAGACAACTCTTTCACAAAGTACATCGTAAGCCTAACACGACTTGTTCTAATTGTTTTTGAATAAATAGCTTCATTCTATGTAAATTTAGCCAATGTTTAATTGCACATTTCATGTAGTACCAGTTTAGATAGATACATTCGATAAATTCGATGAAATGAATATATATGATCTTTCATTTAAGTGAATCTATAATTTAACATGTAGTTATCGTTTAGATTGGTGCTTGATATAATTCGACAATTATAGGTTTCACTTTCCAAATTTTTGTTAGAGTACAAAAGGTCCAATCCAAATACAATTAATCGATTATGACACAAAATTTGAAGGGCTGAACTCATTTACCAAATTATTCCACGTGGGTTTCCTTTTGCATGTGAGAAATAATCGCGACTTGTGCCAAAAGAATGGCTAAAAGGAGTTAACTAGTATTATTCATATCAACGCAATTATTTCATGTGCACGTTGATTTTTTATTTTTTAAAACTCATTTTTATCCATATATTCCATTGAATAATGCTATATATATATATATTTTTTTTATATCAATGCAATTATTTCATATGCATGTTGATTTTTTATTTTTGTCAAGAAAACTATTTTTTTTAAAAAAAAAAAAAACTCATTTTTATCCATATATTCCATTTTATTTAAGTTTAAAATGTCGAGACGTGACAATTTATTTAGACATTACTCATTTATGGTGTGTTTGAGCCACATTATTTTGGAAGAATGTATTTTGGAATAGTAGATTGATGGAGAATGTGAGGTTGAAAAAGAAAGAAAAATTATTGATGTGATGAAAAATATTATTTTATTGAAAAATGTATGATTGAAAATAAGTAGAAAAATGAGAATGAAAATTTTTATGTGACTCAAATAGGAGCTTAATGTCACATTAGTGGTACATAGAATGGTATTTTAGCATTGTCAAATAGCAATACTCTATTTCATACGACTAATTACTTTTATCCGCTTTTCAACCACACATTTTATCAAGTTTTATTTAAATTTACTAAAAATCTGATTTTTAACAAAATCAAACAGGAGTCTTTTTTTTTTAAAGAATATTGATAGGGAAACATTAGATACCCCAAATGACCCACAACCACATGGATTCAATCAAGTCCCTGATTTTGCTTCATTAAAGTTTTAATGCATTTTTCTCTCTTCTTTTCATCCATGCATTTTTCATAATATTACTCATAAATTTAATACTTTTCCTTCATTTTTAACCAAAAATTCTTTGAAAAATCACCATTCCGAAATATATTTTTCCTCAAAATTTGACTTTAATGAAACCCAACCAAGGGTTATGACAAACATTAGCTCAAAGCTCCAACAAGGTATCAATTAGGCAAACCTTTCTTGATGAATCTTTCTTGTCCATTGGCAAAGATCTCATTATCCTCTTTTAAGTCTGTACCTTTCAAAAATTCATCCTTCTCAGGTAGACGCCTTGACAAATAGATATCCACAGGTATCTTCTTATCGACTCCGGATGAAAATTCTGAACAAGTGTATAATGGCAAGGCAGAAACAAGTACAAAATACCTCAGTTAGCATGGCAACCGGTGATTGTCATCCCAAGTTCTTGTCATTTCCTTGATACCTTAACTTTTGGTACACTTGATTAGAAAGGAGTAGACTGCACAAGTGATGAATTTTGTCACCTACATCTCTTCTTTAATTATGTTCGATCATATCTAACATCGTTTGCCAAACATAACCTACGTACTATACTTAGTTACTTCTATGACAACTGTCTTGACAACTGAGGCAAAGGTTAGGATAAAATAGAAAATAGCATTAGGGGGAAAAAAGAAGATGGTGTGAAACCGGGATTTGTCTAACTATTAAAACAGTTTGCTTATGATTTATATTTCACACAATCCTCAACTGCAGGGATTATAGAAACGACTAAAGAAAGTCGACCTGAGTTTTCAATTTTACCACCTTCTCATCCACAAAAGGCCAAACACTTGGAAGATAACAGAAACCGAAACTCTAGCCAAAAAAGGTTAATTTTAGAAGGGTTAATATATCTAACAATGTCGAGTTAGGTTTACAATCGTACCTTCCCCTTCACAATGGACCCAACATGAAGATATTGATAATATAATGATAAAAACTGGCCAAAATCAGCAAATGTGACCGTGTCTTGACCGACATCAAACAATATCAAGAGATCAACTAAATCAAGCATATTGAAAAAAAAAGTCACTTCAGGTAATTTATAAAGAACTTGAACTTCGTTGATGCTAAACCATAAAACAAAGTCAGTCGCAGATATCAGTGGAAAATGGATGGCCTAGAAGGATTTTCCTCGAGGAGTTCAAAAGATAGAGTCATTCAAATAGGCATTACATAATTGTCATCTAGAATTATATAAGTGATCACTTATCACGTTCTGAGCTTCTGTGCAGATATATGTTTCAAACCATCTTCTTTAAAAATTTGAGCATTTATCTCTTTAGCTTTTGATATTCTCACTCTCGCACATACAATTAATACATACAACAAATAAAGGAATTCTACAACCTTTTATATTCTATGGTAGATTATTTTCAGATGTATCTCAAACAACTACGTGCAGTGAAAGCATTAAAAGAAAAGCAAGCACTTGCTGTCTTTCCAATATCCTCCCAAAGAAAATATGCTCAAATCCATTACAAGCAAGAGGTAACACAGCAGACATAACATGGTATGATATAGTTATTGCAACTAAAGATCTGCAATGACTTTGACAAGAAATAACAAAAAAGCTCGATACATAACCTCTCAAAACGGTTTCCCATATTCTTGTGTTGGCTGCTCCCAGGCCCTGAGGAAGCCTGCAACAAATCCAATAATAATGTGTCTAGCTAGGCAGACGGGAGAGATAGAAACAGAGAGATCATCGCTCAAATATTGATCTGAGTTCAGATTATGTACACAATAAACAGATGCATTTTCGAATACAATTACACCAAGAACTTAATGGGGGCAAGATAAAGATAAAACTGTGCCATTGTTTATGCAACATAATATTTGAAGTTCTGAGAATCAAAAACTCCAGGCTAAATATAAAACAATGACAGCTGCGACCGGCAGACAGCAGTTATGGAGATTCTAATAAAGACCTAACTGAAGACTTACTATGAATATAAATGCATAAAAAGTAGTTATGATTTGCACGTGGTTAGAATATTTTGGTTTAGATGAGATTTTAATGGGTTTCTGTTTGTCTATGCTATTATTGAATATTGGTCAGAATAACAAGCATCTTGAGATTTTCCTCCTATATTTATGTTCTCTTCTCATTCTCTTTCACATCCTTTTCTTCTTCTCTCTCTTATTCTGTTTCTCTCTCCCATTCTGCACAAGGCAGATTCTATAAAAAATTCAATTTCGGTATTTTCAAACTGAGAAAAGGCTGCTTTGGTCCAGTTATCTTGTTCACAGTTGAACTCAAGAACCAGAGGAGTTATCTGATTTCCCTTTTTGCGAGGACCAACCAGTTATCTACAAAAATAAATAAAATGATAAAAGCCATCGAATCTTTATGGGTTCAAGCCAATTCCAGAAAGAACAGCACCAGCACTGTAAACCATTACACACAAACAAACCCACTCCTTATGAGGAAGTGGATGGCAGTTAAATAACATAACACTAAATTTGTTCTCAAAAATAAAATGAAATTGGACAGTAAGTGCATGCTACATTGGTCTCAGACTCTCAGTAAAGGTGGGAAAAGATCTTTCTTATTTTTCTCATATTTGTCCAAGCGACAATGGAAAGAATTAGACCCAGTGCATATTATTTATCACAAAATAAACAAGTTATTACAGAAGAACTATTCCCCGTCTCGAATTTTGTCCAAATTGACTGTTCTGAGACCCCAATATGGTCGCAAATTCTTAGTATTTTAAGATATTTCTCAAATATATGTTCAACTGACTTTCAGAATCAGAAGGTACTCTCCAATATTAGGACACAATTTTTTGTCTTCCCATAGAAGATGTCACTTTTCGAAATGGCTACGGGTAAATCACAAAAGGAATTGCAGAATACTTTTAAGCTGAAGAATTAATTCAGGCACTCTGGAAAGGAATCATGGGCAAAGAATTTGGGGGCAGAAGGAGTAGTACTTATCAAAACCCCAAAGCTTATAAAAGTGATTACCTACGTTTTAGCTATAACCAAATTTAATCCAGAACAAAATCATGCAAGCACAACTGTTTAGTTTCGAGAAATTTTTTCCAAGCCACTAAAATATCAACGGTTTTTTCAAATGCTTACCAGCACTCTGTTTTTTCAAAATCACACAAGTACAATTCAAAACTGCTATCTGAAGCCTCTTAAAGCTAATCTACCACGAATACATATACAACACTCATTAGAAATTATAACAAAATTAATAAAACTGAAGTTTTTACATACTTATCGGTATTTCTCCCAAGGACATGTATATTGAATCGTCATCACCAAGAATCTCCTGCAATGACCAGTAAAGTGTTCATTAGAGCAGGGAAATAATGATGGCAAAATTCCTACACTTGTAGCTATCAACGAGGCTGATGAAAATTGTATTGAATAATTAAAGGTATGAACTAGATGAATTTTTGTGACGATTAAAACAAGTGAAAAACGGAGCACCAAAATGACGAAGTGAAATTTTCTTTAAAATCAAAGACGAGTAAGCATTCAATTCCATTACCTGTCCATTATGAAGGCCCATGTCATTGTGCAGAGCATTCAGATCTGTGGGTACAGAATCATTTTCGAGCAATTCTGATATCATAAGTCCATAACCGTCTTGATGGTCGGGAATCTCAGTGGCATTATGTACATTATCAGGAAAGTTATCCAGCCCATTAAATACAGAATCAGCCCTGTTTTGTTGAAATTTGATAAAATCAGAAGAGAACTTCACAATAAGAAAGCTTCCAACTAATCTTCAAGGAAATATTGTGACGAGGTCAGCATGTAATAGTTCAGGAAGTTTCGACCAAACTAAAGTCTGAAAGTGAAGTTTTCTTGCGTCCAGAAAAGTGTTTACACATGTATAAGCAAGGAAAGCTTAATGCATATAGAAATTTACCTTCTCTCAGCATTAGTGAAAGTATTGTATTCTTGCATGGAATCATCTTCCAAATCAATCACTTCGATGTCTTTATCATCAACTCCACGTTTTCCATATTTATTATGCACATTGCAATTATAACTACTCATGGACAAATCAAAATCTACAGGTGCTGTGTGTCTTCCAGTTTCAGTAATAGACCGGAACATAAGAATGGGATCAGCAGCATGATTCTCGTTCATGTCAGAAGTTTCTATAAGATTAAGGTCGCAAGTCTTAAAGGAACCAGGAAATAATTGTTTTTCTTCTGCGTACTCACTTGACTCTATGTGGCTTTTGGAGAACAGCGAAATATCTGAACTTTTCTGATCAGTAGATAAAGTTACATGCTCACTATGTGAAGAAATTGGCTCTACTGACTTATGCTGATTTTCCATTGAGATGGAAAGGGGCAAGCAGCCATCAGGCTGAGTTTCCACTGAAGGAGCCCATTCCTTAGGTCTTTTAGCTTCCTCCCTACCATCAATGTCATCGTCTAGAGGTCGTTTTTCACCTCTCCCCAAAAAGATGGGGTTGCTGCTTCCATATCCAGGATACGCCCCATCTACTTCTTGATGATTAATCACAGATCTCTTGGGAAAAGATCCAGACATTGAGCAGTGCCCCTGCCTGGAAGTGTGTGCAACACCCAGTTCTTCCTCCACGGATGGAGCTTTCAGAACATCAGGGAGGCTGTTTGGTTCGTGGCTTTGATGAGATGAAGCATTAACAGCAGAACCATCAGAAGGCACATCTATGACTTGGACCCCAGAATCTTTAGAAAGTTTGCCCTCATTAATGGTCTCTTCCTCAGCGATGGGATCCAGGTCAACCTTTGAACCCCTAGTTGCCAACGACGAACGAGTTTTAGTTGGAACATTTGCAAATTTGCAGTACCTCATCAACTCAACATTGTTCTCACTTGCTAAACTGCCGTCCTGTAAAGAACCTGTGACCTCCATATTCTCGTCATGTTTTTGCTCCAAATCATTATAATTTCTCCCCTCTTTATCCTCCTCAGCTTCTTCATTGGACATAGTAGAACTACCATCTGACTCTTTGATGGGTGTTTCCACATCATCATTTGATGGGACATCCTTCTCATTGCCAGAAGAACCTGGTTTTGCACCTGCATCATCAGCTAAATTGCATTTCTCTAAGCCCGACTGAAGATCAGTTGCACTATCACTCTCTTGAGTTACCTCGCCAGCAGACAAACTCTGCACTCCAGTATCACTATCTTTTTTAACAGACTGCTCATCCTGAAGTCCAGCAAAAATATCATTGTCAGCCTCCATACCTGGTGAAGTCCTGCCCCTATCAAACCACGACCCACTCCTCACAAATTCTGGGTTCCAATCTGAACCATGATTTTTGGAGGACCCAGTTCTTCTCCTTCCTCTCATAGAATTTTTCGACCCCATCAAGTTATATTCATCAGAATACCTTCTCCTGCCAGGACCTACATCCACAGCAGCAGTCCCCAAACGGGAATGAGCTGATGTACGACTGTCCATAGGAATCTGCATAAAATCCTCCATCTGGTTCTTCCAGTCGCCATTTTGCCACTTTCCTGAAAGTGCATTTGGAGGCAGGATCCCTTTAGTAACTAAATATTCAGCTGCTAGCTTACCAGCTTCCATAAATATGTCAGTCTCGCGCGGTGGTGGCAAGGGTGGCTGGAACGGCTTTGAGTGGCCACCACGTCCATAGCCACTGCGATTATAATTTCTATATTCGGAATTATACATCTGATGACCTCTAATTGAACCTTCAGGTGAAATTCGAGAGGCAGCTGCCACCCCGCCCATCCCCATCACATTAGACCTGTACCCATTTCCCGGCCCACCACCACGACGCCTTGCATACATGTTTCCAAGTCCACGGTCTGTATATATAACTAGGTATATATACACAGTCAACGCAGCTATTGGGAAACCTCCACCAAGATTTATCTCTGTTTTAACAATTCCTCACTAGAAACAAAAGAACAAGTTTTGGCACATCAAATTCCCAACCAAAACATCCTCTCGCAAACAAGGTATATCTCACACTCTCTCTTTGGCACAAAACTCAAATTAAACAAGTAAAATTCATTTATTTTCTCAATATATGTATTTACAAAACCCGGTTAAATCTTGAGGTGAATTCCACCGATCGATCTAAAGAGTAAATAATCTAAGTTCAGGTGATGCAGATCTGACGATTTCGTTACCAAAATTTTAAATTCAGCAGCAGTAGTTTACCTTAATTAAAGTGAAGCAAACCAAAGCTGAGGTTTTTAGGGTTTCACCGTTTCAGTCCTTGAGATCCAGTTCTCATCAGTTCAATTGCAATCACCTACTCCCTCAAAAAAAAAAAGTATATACACACACGGTCAAATTTTCACAATCCTTCAATTGCATGGTCCAGGAATCAAACAATGGATATTTGGTAGGTACAGTAATCCCATTTTAGATAGAGAATTTTCTTGATTTCTCTTTTCCTTTATTTTTCTTTTGATTTTGGATTTGACGAAAAAAAAAAGGGGGATGGGCAAGTGCGTGATCCAGCGATATCCTCTTTTTCGTGTTCCTCGAAGAGACCATGACACCATGTTTTGCACGTTAAGGCCTTTGCAATAGCGGGTCCACGCGCCCCCTATGGAATTTTGATTTCACGTGCCTCCGCCAATTTTTCTTTTCCCATTTTGGAGAAAATCTATGGGGCCATCTAATTATGATATAATGTCAAATTAGACCACATACTTTTCGAGATTTGTCAAATTGCCCTCTGTTTAATAGTTATACTTTCATTTAATTTAGCCTTCTTCAGTAATAAATACTTTACTATTTTACACCTTTTAAAAAGCATGAGAGATGGATTAAAAGTCAATTTTCATAAGGGACGAACACTGAGTGATTCGATTACTAATATCTTAAGAATATCGAATTGATTCTCCTTGAGAAATATAAGAATGAAAAGAAGGAACAAAACCATACCAGAATCAATCAGTTTTGGTCCGATTCTTGCGTGCTTCAAAAATCAATTGTTAATTATTAACTCTTGTGTGAATTTTCTTATTTCATTTTCACGATGTCTTCTTAAGCAATTAAATTATTGATTATTTCAAATACATGTTAAGTAATTTCAATTTATATAAATTATGATTCAATTAGAAAGCACTAAATGCGTTAATTGATGTCCTTACCTCCTACTTTTCACTCGAAGTACGTAAAACAACATTGTTGTACGAAAAAGTATTTAAAACTTTTCGTTTTTGGACATAAAAAGATAGAGTGTGGCATCTAACAAAGCTAGTCGACGCCAACTATAATGGTTGAAATTTGAGATATTATATAAATATATTTTTAGACGGAATCAAAATTTATTTATGTGGTTAGAATCGAGAATCGAACCACAACGATTAAGTTCTTCATTATAAGACTCGGAATCGGATCATATCGAGCAGTTCAATTCAATTACTATCGAGGTCAAGTGGTTCTTGATTAAACCCCCCCCCCCCTCCCCCCTCCCACCTTGTCACAATCCATATCACTTCCTCACGGAAAAATTGAGTTTTGAAGTTCTATCTCAAAACGTCAGCTTTGTTAAGAGTAACTCAAGTTCTTATCAACTGATTGATAGCTCATTCAGTCATTTGATAACATGATTTTGAAATTTAATTGTTTGGTTGAGTTTTAAATGGTTTGAATTGCTTGCTGGATTTTTTATTTTTTTTTAAGTTCTGATACAATATTTAGTCCTGCTTCTTCTCTTAAGCCCTCCTTCGATTATTTCAAATTTATTTTGTCTTTATCGAATTTCTACATTGACAAAAGAAAAAGAAATAGAAGTGTATGATATAAACTCTATCATAGAGATTTAAATTATTGGGATGATTTTAGGATTTAAAATCACTGGGCATTCACACAGTTGTTGAACTAATAATTAACAATTGTACTACTTGTACAATTTTGGATGACAATCTTCTTTACATTAATTGAAATTTGGCCACTATAGCGGCGAAAACGAAAAGAAAAAAAGGGAAAAAACCACATTGACATAGATTAACGTGGCCCAATTTTCCTTTTATCATTTCAACATGATTTAGCACGGTGAACAACAAAAGCGATTTACCTCCAAATTGGCAACAATTTACAGGAAAAAATCTCTCCATCCAACTCGACCGGCGCTCTACCCCCAAATTGAATGGCACTTTACCACCCCAAAATCAACTGGCTATTTACCTCAAAATATCTATCGACACTTTACCCCCAAAAATCAACGGTAGGCACTTTATCCACAAAAAAACGACCCACGGTAATCCCTAAATTGACCGGTAGCTCCAACCACCGCGAACACGCCTCCACACAACCGCCAGCATCATATTTTTGTAAAGAATCGAAGGCCTTCACACGACCACCGGCATCAGATTTCTATAAGGATCTCGAGGTTTAAGGCCTACTTACGAATCAACTGCGGTTGGGGCAGAGGTTGAAGGAATGATGGAGAAAGATCGTTTCCACCATTTTTTGAATTTCTCCATATGTATTTCAATTTGAAATTACTTTTGTGTGAATGTGCAATTAAGAATTGTATGAATCTGAAACTACATATTGAATTAGGTTGAAATGTGATAGGTTGCTGTTTTGCTGAATATTACCTTATGAATCTGAAGCTACATATTGAATTAGGTTGAAATGTGATAGGTTGTTGTTTTGCGAAATGTTGCCCCATTATGTTGTCACAGGTAAAGAAATAGTGATTGCCTTGGATGATGAAGTCATAGTAGAATCCAATATTGAAAATGTTATGGACAATGTGATTGCATTGGAAGAAGATATCTTACAAGAAGATATTGCGAGTGTGCTTGTGCAGGAGCCGAGTATGAAGTTCAAGGATGAAAACGAACTGTTTGACTTTTACAAAATATATGCATATGAAATAGGTTTTTCAGTTAGAAAAATGAATTCCAAGAAGGGGAGGACGGAGTAATGAATTACATAACATTGACATGTAGTCGTGATGGCCGATGAAACAACATTACAAGCGCTTCCTTGAAGCCACAACCAACAATTCAGGCAGGTTGAAGGCAAGGCTTCTTGCATTTTCAGATATTCATGGAACATGGATAATCTGCACAGTCCATCTTCTAGCACAATCACAAAACAAGCCATTTGAAGTCCAAGTTATATCCGTGCAACCGATATAACTTGGAGTCAATGATGTGGCCTGAATTCTTTTGCACAAGAGTTCAACTCCGCTATTGTTGAAGCATGTGGATATGAAAACATGACTTAAGTGGAAAAAGATTGTAGAAACTATGTTAAAAATGTGAGGCGATTAAGACTTGGTGAAGGGGATGCCGCAGCAATACAATGTCACTTTCACAAATGCAGGCACGGTGCGTGGGTTTTTTCTTTTGTATGGATTTGGAAGACGAGTTGTGACTGAAGAATGTTTTCTGGGTAGACAATAGGTGTAGGCAAGCATACAAAGAATTCGAAGATGTTGTGATATTTGATACCACATGCCTCACAAATAAGTACGACATGTCTTTTACCCTTTTTGTTGGAGTGAATCATCATGGTTAATCAACACTGCTTGACTGTGGTTTGTTATCGAACAAGGATATATATACATTTGTATGGTTGTTCCAGACATGGCTACAGTCTCAAATTCCCAAATATCGTAATGATTTTACAATTTACCAAATTGGGCTCTAACACACCCCAAAGCATAATCAAGCTCAAATGTTTTTAAAGAAGGCCAATTGCTAGATTGTACACAGTTTACTTAATTTAAAGCGTGTTCAACAAAATCAACATCCACATACCCTTTACCACTGGGTCCGTCTCTAGCAATTGAATACAATGACATCGCAAGTAATGGTGGCAAAGCGACATTATCCATATCTCCTGAACTCTACTAAGCAGTATTTTTCAAATCCGACCATTTACGAGCTCTTAAATGTATTGTACCAAATTGAATGTCCACCACGGTACTGAACATGTGCCGATTGACTCTTCTAAATTCTGCATGACTCTGCAGGATGTATAACTAAGACCTTTTCTGTCCCTCCAATACAATTTGGGCACCCTTACAAACCTTCAAAACTTCACATATATCAAAAAACTCATAACCCTTTGAATCAAGGATAGACAACGAGATGATATTCTTCTTCAAATTTGGAACATGTCGAACCTGACCAAGTGTTCTAATTGTTCCATCCAATAGTTTCAATCTGACAAAGTGTGTTGTTTCTCATGACTACGACACATTTAGAAACAATATCATATATAGTAAACAATTTCTTATTAGAACACATATGATGAATCAAGAATCCAATTTTCCTCTGGTTTAGACTCCATCAATTTTTTTGCGAGATCTATTTCGCTTGAAGTATCTGATTGCTTCCCATATCGACTTGCAGCCAAACTTTCTTTATTCTGCAACTTGTAGCAATCATTCTTTACGTGCCTCTTCTTCTTGTAGTAGTTACAAATTTGATTACTGAACTTACATTTCATCTGCCCCTTTCAAAATCACTATGAGCAACCAGACTTTCTCCATCTCTGACCTCAGAAACCAGATGCTTCATCTTCTCTTTTGAATTCAAAGCATCATACACATCCTCTATGGTAAGAGTATTACGATTATACAAGATCGTGTCTCAAAATGAAGAAACGAAGCAGGCAACGAACACAATAGGATCAAGGCCAAATCTTCTTCATCATACTCTACTTTCAAAATTTTCGAATCAGCGACGATCTCTTTAAATACAGTCAGGTGATCTTGCAATGATCCTTCTTCTGCCATTCGATGAGAGTATAAACGCTGCTTGAGGTTCAACTTACTTGTCAGACTTTTAG